GTCCAGTCATGTGTCAAGTATGTGCACTACGTGGTCCGGTGGATTCTGCATTCGCTTGTCACGCTGAAGACCCGGGTTCGGTTTACATGGGTACAATGTTTAAAGCCCATTTCTGGCGTCTCCTGTCGTGATGTTGGAAGATCATTGTTAAAAGTGGCGTAAACCATACTCACTCACTATTTTAAATCTGTACCCCAACTTACAGGCACGCGCGCAGTTACGGTAAATTTTTACACAACCATGCGTCCATAGCATCTGACTTAGGTCACAGAAGCGGTCCGTCGTTGTTGCTCAGGAATCGGTAACCTATGACATGAACGTAACCCAATACTAATGTAACAGTGTGCACAGCTTTGTGGCGTCATTCGGCTAGTGGTTTGTTGTCGGCGCTATATAATGTATATTAAATGTTTGTTCTGTACATAGTTATATATGGATAAGATAATATGGTTATTCCAATAATGTGTTAATGAAGTTGCATTCAAATACGTGGCAGACCATATTATGGTTGAATCAAAGTTGCATCTGGATATTAATTACTGATTTAACAGGGCAGAAAACACACATGTTTCAGATGGTGAAACTATATCATCGTTTCTAATGATTTTTTCAAAATAGACCCCCAAAGGCAGCACTAATGTTGAACACAGACATATACGTGACATAGAACACTTGCACAAGTCTCTAGGTAATAATTAATAGTTTAAACGTTTCTAAAATGTAAATAACAAAATGTAGTCGCCAATTGTACTGTCCGCATATTTAGAGCCTCGAAGCAATGTATAAGCACTTTTGTATTTCTATTACTCACCGGTTGAAGATATCTACTGTTTAATAAATCTACAATGTTATTACACATTGTGTAATAACATTGCGTGATGCCAGACGTATGACGTCATAATGGTTTTAACAGCAGTTATGACGTCACAATGCTAATACCTCTGCCACAATGGTATTAATTAGACCTTGCTTGACTCGCGGAAAGCTGAGAGTCATCACACTAGCCAGTTTCTGTCAGTTTAAGTTGGAGTAGTAATAAACAGAATGCTAAACTCGCTTCAGTGGAAATACCATTTACATAAAACTCGCTTTCAGTATCAGCTCGTTTGATACCAAATCATTAACTCGTTTAATAAATATGGTATTACACAGAAGGTCGAGTTAGTATCTTCTATATATCACAATCGAAGTTGCCCACATACAATCGTTGGGGCAACCCTGTGATGAAGCTTCCACACAACAAGGCTGAGAATCCCGTATCTGGGATTAAAAATATGATATACTCATTAAATTGCTCCCCGTCTGTTTTGAGATTTTAGCTTCCAGGGATACGATCGTAGATCAATGCGCTTGATGTCAGTCAAGAGTCAATTGCGGCGTTAAACAATAAATGAAGCAATTTTATTTACCATGCAGGCTGATCATGAGTGGTCTGCTGCTAGAAACAATAAACCTATCTAGGCCCTACTACTCTCATTATACAAGAGTTCACCACAAAGCATGGGAAACGAATTAGTTCATGTCTTCCGTTTTCTCATGTACATATGTTTCAATATATTCCACAGTATAATACGGTCCTAAACAATTGTACCGACAGGACAGGGCATCTTTACCCACATTTGCTGCCAACACCCTGGGTCAATCGATGATTCTACCATGACATTTTAAGTATGTTCGTTTTGATTGGCTGTTACTAAAATTAGAAGTGAAAATGTTCAATAACCACTTCTGAGAGCCAGTTCACTGCGCATAGGAATATTTTGCACTCATTAACCCTTACAACGGTAAACAAACGAGTTGTACCCCATAACCTACATGCCATTACCCTACACTGAGTACCCTACAATTAGTTAAAACAAAAGACGGCATTTACCTGGCTGGCATAATGGACTGACCCAAGGAGAGATTAGTGCACAGAGTATACAGATGAGATCAAGGGAGGGTAAGTGCATAGAGCATACAGGATGAGATCAAGGGAGGGTTAGTGCATAGAGTATGAGATCAAGAGGGGTATGAGATCAACAGGGAGGGAGGAGGGAAGTGCATAGAGTATACAGATGAGATCAAGGGAGGGTTGAGTGCATAGAGAATATACAGATGAGATCAAGGGGAGGGTTAGTGCATAGAGTATACAGATGAGATCAAGGGGGAGGGTTAGTGCATAGAGTATACAGATGAGATCAAGGGAGGGGTTAGTGCATAGAGTATACAGATGAGATCAAGGGAGAGTTAATCTGTTGTTTAGTGTCTTGTGTCAAGGAAATTTGGATTAGCTAAATGTTGTTTTAGTTTCATGATGAAAGATAAACTCTAGTGAGTGGAAACAATTTTACAAATTGGATGAGTGTCTTGTGTCAAGGAAATTTGGGATTAGCTAAATGTTGTTTTAGTTTCATGATGAAAGATCAACCTCTAAAAGGAGTAGAACAATTTTACAAATTGGATAGCGTGTAGGTTGTTAAATGTTGAAATTATATTTGTTTAGTGCCAGGATGAAAGATGCACAGTAATGTAGAGACCCCAGTCTTAGGACCCTAATTTTTCATAATATATATTAATGATATCGTAGATGATATTGTTAGTAATATTAGACGACACGTCTCTATACGCTTATAATTGATGATCCTGACATAGCTGCAGACTGTTTTAAATAAAAGGACTTATTAGGAATTTCAAATTGGGCCAAAGAATGGAAGGTTTCATTCAATCCTAACGAAACAAATTCAATACAGTTCAGTAGTGAAAACTAAATAGAAGCATTAAACCTGATCTTACAATGAACGGTGTGGATAATCCAGACGTAGATAATCATAATCATCAGGCTTGACCCTTCAAAATAACTTTTTACTGGGATATCACATAAACTCTATGAAAGAAAGTTAGCCCACTGATTAAATGTTCAAGAAGTTTAAAATATCGATTATAAGTTTAGAAATTATCTACAAATCTTTCATCTTACCGACGACATATGCCCGGTGATCATTTTTACCTGATACGATAAAACTATGGAATTCCTTAAGTTCTGAAATTCAAAATATTGATACTTTTATCCCGATTAAAAACTCGATATTAAGACAATATAACAAAACTATTATTTTTGATCCTAAACTGATTTGATTTGAATGCTGATAGGTTTAGACATCATCGACAACCCCTCGTGCCCATGTGGACATCCAGTCGAAAATGCTGTGCATTATTTCTTTACATGCAAAAAATACACGGAATTAAGACAAAAAATCATATTTCTATTTAAAGGGTTTAGTATCAACACTGTACTATGGGTATCAACACTGTACTATGTACATTGAATGTTAACAATTAATTGTTAATGTTCATCAATTAATCATGATGACAAATTATTGTTAATCCTTATTAAAATCTTGATGATGACAAATGAGATCAACCTTCAATAAAATCATTCTCTCTATCTTTTAGTGAATGAATGAATTGTTTATTAACGTATCACGCATAAAATTACAAGGTATACAGACAATAAATATACAAAGATAAAATAGATTATGCAGGGCCTCAATAGGCCGAAGAGACACGGTATAAAACTGTAAAATATGACTTATTTCAATATTTCAATTAGTTGTGTGTTGTTATGTCTCTTAAGTGGATTAGTCCATTGTATGGAATAGGTAACAGGCAGGGGATTAACAGTGCAACAGACCGTAAACTATGTTGTTATAAGCTGTAGGGGTAGTGGCATGTAGGGGTAATGGGGGTTACCAAACAAACATGTCGTCTGAAACTGTTACGTTTGACCTCAGCGATTTCTTTGATATGGAGGAAAATATTGACCCAACCTGGTATGAAAGTCGAATCACACAATCACTGCATCTTCGTCTTTGATGTCTGGTCTTTTCAAAATTGACAACAGTCAGGTTGTCATAAATAACTACTTTCGGAACTAAGCAAAGCACTGACACGCATCCAGAACAGCACGTTCATTGGCACGCGCCAATGACGTCAGAACGAAGGTCAAACCAGACGAATCTATTTTTGAAGTTAGAGGGGTGTTCCTTATTACATAACTCATTCCATTAAAGTTGTCCATAACATAAGAAGTAGAATGCCAGTACAGATGTTGCAACTTGCAATGTATTTGAAGAAAACGTCGTTGTGGAAATAATTAAAACATTTGACACTATGTAAATTGTTTCTTTTTCCTGTTTCATCCCCAGTATGGGCGAAACCATTTAGAAGGCTCTATCCGCAGTAGTGTCAAAACACTACGCAAGGGTAATGAGTGCATATTTAAAACGCGTTTTATTCATGGTGCATATGTCATGGTAGAATTGAGATAATCCTATTGTGTTTACCTATTGTGTTTGTGCTAAATGATTTCATTTAAAACCTCAAGCTAATGCGTTCGGTTTTAAATGACATTTAGCAGCGTTCAACCAACTATTATCACTTCCAAAATGTAAACACAATAGGATTATCTCCTAATTTTCACTGATCCATTCATACAATTTCGTTGCCATTTTGAAATGTGTTCCTTCGTAAAATCGAGCTTGTATTTTGTTTTGTAATTACAAGAGAAAGCCGTTTTGAATTTAGTATGACTTTATTTGACTATGTCCAATCACAGATGCACATACGTGCAGTTTGTAATGTTTGAGAAACAGACTGACAGATCCTTGATATACATTTTAGTCATCACATAATATCCAATCAAATGACGTATCTGGAATAACCTCAAACCCAATGGCCTCATGCATCTTGATAGACGCTGTATTGACACGTTGTATCATGACAAACACCTCTTTCTTTTTTGCAGATGTTTTAGAGCGAGAGCTGGGACATGGCCACCTTTCCGTACCCATTGCCTCGGTGTTCTTCCAGCACGTACAGCACCCCCAGACACCCGTAGTGATAGGTGAGGGCGTATCCTAGCAGCGCCCCCTCCCGGTTGTACAGACACGTGGAAGGAAGTGTGGTTATTAAGTGCTTGATGTAGGCTTCGGACACGTCTCCATTGTGTAGTACCCACCTGGAATTCACCTGACTAGCTTGATCTGCCGTTAGGCTGGACATGGTACAGCCCTCAGGAATGGGCCTTTAGGAAAAATGATTTTCATATATTTGAAAACTTCGAGTTATCCGTCCATCTAAATAATTATTGTAAACCACGGTATTAACGTACTCAAAGGGACCACTTCTTTAGTTCGTTATAACCACAGTTCGTTGTTGGTACTTTGATTAAAATATCCAGCAATGGCATGTAGCAGTGACGCCGTTCGTAATATCTGTCATTTCGGTACAAGCGTGTTCGTTATAAAACGGTTATGGCCCGGGAAAGCGAAATCTGGACAAAACCTCCTCAATTAAGGTGTCGCGGGATCGGTCTAGCTACAGTGAACACTGAATTTAGCGTTCCCGGGACTCTCAATGCACAGGAAAAACAAAGAAACGTGAGTCGTCGTCTGATACCGTAGTCATGGTAGAAATTTAATAAATAAATAAATACGTTTAACATTAGCAAGCCATGGTGAAGCTTTCATATTATTTTCTAGCATTTGTGAAAACATTGTGAATTATAACTGACATTTTATTTTGATGTACATTAGTAGCAAGTTAAACCGAACTGAAATTATTCACTTTTTAATATATACAGAGAAAGGAATTCGTCAAGTCTCTCCGTAGAGCATTTAGGATGGTGTACTCTTGCGTAGTTTCGGGACAGAATTCATGAATAAATAACCTGTGAACATTTTCTAAAATGTCTATATTTGAATCTTCCCACACCTCGCAACCATATAACATGATTGGTAGGAGCATGCAGTCAAAACATCTACACAAACAATCGATAGGAATAAGGAGATTTCTAGCCTTTGAGGGGATAATAAACGCTACTTCTTGTGTTTGGTCGTGGAGTGCCAGAAAGGCTGAGTTTAGTTGAGTTGGGCTTTACGTCACATCGGCATTATTCCAGCCATATAGCGACGAAATCAAGTCTGCATTCATAAACATTTTAAATGAGTTTTATATTAAAACAGATTTATTCATGACTTTGTTATTTAAAACAGAAGATGTCATAGCACTAAATTCAAAAGCACGCATTTCGTTATTCACATTACATACATGTAGTTACAATTTATGATACAGATCACCTTCCCTCAGGTAGTTCACGCGCGAAAAAACAGATATCGGTGGTACATGGTATAACAAAGAAGTACATACAAAATGTACAAACAAGATGACTAAATAATACACCAATTAAAGTCTTTACAAACAATCTTAATGAACTTGGATACATTTTTAAGAGTAGATATTCTCCTTGAAAAGTTGACGGAACTTTTTGACAAATCTCGGCCAGGAACATTAAGGTTCTTTTAACAATTATGATAATTCATTACATGGATTAATAAAACTATAATTAAGAGTAGGGTCACGTACGTGCTGGAAACTTGAAACAACTGAAACTTCATCTCAGTTAAGCGGCTCACAGATCGAGTATAGGGGTCGCGCGCTAATCTGAAGTACGGTAATCCGATGTTTTCATAGCCATTCGCTTTCGCGGCACTTCTAGCACAACTTTGGTTTCGCTTTACCGGGAATAGGGAATATTGAAATTTTGCTTTCCCAGGCCGACACCTATAAAACGAAGTTTACTATAGATCTAAATTTAGAGACGTTATAATTTAATGTTGACAAATTTTATCTCTTGAAACTTCATTATGAAGACAGATTCACCATTTAGCATATCACGATTTGTAATGAAGACTGTGATATATCAGGATTGTCAACAATATGTTTTAAGTTTTTAATAAAAGTAGCAAAGTGTTTGTACATTTACCGAGTCTAGATGATCTTTGGTATAAATGTACCTGAGTTTCAGTGTATCGTGCGTGACCCTCATTAACGTACAGTCAGTGTGGAGAAATGTGGGTACCCGGTAGAGTTGAATCACTTCTGACAGAACTGGCACTAGACGTCGTTCCACACCTGATAAGAGAAAGCAGGTTTCATGTGAGAGGCCGGATGTATGAGTGAGTGAGTGAGTGAGTTTGATTTTATGCCGCTTTTAGCAATATTCCAGCAACATCACGGCGGGGACACCAGAAATGGGCTTCACACATTTTGCCCATGTGGAGAATCGAACCTGGGTCTTCGGCGTGACGAGGCGAACCTTTAACCACTAGGCTACCCCACCGCCCCCGGATGTATGAACGTCACTGTGAAGTGCAATGATCTTTGATCAGCGATGTTCACCTTGCTTTAAGATTTCCTGTCCCGGGCTGCGTTAAGGGTTTGTTTGTTGGTTGGTTAATGCTTATTCAGCAATATTCCAGATATATGGCGGCGGTCTGTAAATAATCTAGTTTGGACCAAGCATTGGCAAGCAATCCAGTGATCAACAGCATGAGAATCGATGTACGCAATTGGCATACGATGACGTGTATCAACCAAGTCAGCGAGCCTGGACCACCTGATCCCGTTAGTCGCCTCTACGGGTTGCTGGAGACCAACTCTGACCCGGATCTTCACGGGTCGCAATGAAGTGAAATGTAACGACAAACGATATGGCTATATGCCTTTACATTCAAATCGTATCCCCTCGGACCAGTCCAGGTTGTGTAGAAGGCCTCTCAGTGCTTCGTCGTCAATAGCGTACAGGTTCACAAGCGGACTCTAGATACTTCAGCTGTTGACAGTCATATGTTACAAACCATTTACCCCTCAATGGAAACATCAGAACCTTTGTCACAGCTAATGGACACAGCTAGAGGAAGTCGTGCACAGAAATCAAAAGAATATTCATGAGTGGGGAGCTTATGTCACTACGTCACATACACGGCACAGTATCTTCCGCGGAACTAGTAGAGGGAGTTGACCTATGCTGCTTCGTCTGTTATTGCCTTATACAATGTGACAGCTACAATATGCATATGAGGTATATGTACACATGAAGTATACGTGCTGTTTATTCAATATAATATGCTGTATTGAAGTTTTGCGACGCAACTTCCCACGGTGAAGGAGTTCAAGCGAGAAAGCCTCCTCGAGAACAACCACGGTACCTAGCGTTGCGATGGAAACATTCACATGTCAATATTGTCATTGCTCAGTCCTGACTTATCATAACTCCAACCAAACACAATAACATCTCTTGTCAACCAACTAAATATTTCTTATACAATACATATGTACATGTACGTACATATTGCCAGATCTAATTAAACTCCACGTATTTCAATAGCGTCAGCTCTAATAGGGCGTCTTATGAAGGAAGGAAAGGCTTGCTCCAGGCAGGCCAAAGTACCTAAAGCTACCTTTCCATGGCTATCAGGGCACTACATAAACTTTGAAACAACATTATTTGAGATTTATATCCCAGGGTAACCTAGAAGCATGGCAACAAATATTTCTGGAATTTGGGTAGTGTATCTGGAAGTACCTGAGGAATCCCTCCAAATGGTAAAATTACTAGTTTCTGGTGTAAAGGTGCAGATAAATATATTAAGGATAAAACAACAACACCATGTCAACACCTCCGCCAGTTTAAATGTCTGGCAAGTATATCCCTCCAAAGATACCATACTGCCAGGGTGTATTGGTACTTTGGCAAGTCTTACTGAGTTTCCTTATTGGCAGTTAAAATCACTCTCAATTATTTTCAACTTCAACTTCCCTCTAAAGTAATTAATATAAAAATCATTTTCATGGCATTTTCAACACCCCCTTCAACCTGATCCCTTTGACCATGTACAACCCCCTCTAGACTGAAAATTCCCATTCACTCTCTCTCCCATTTCAGCCTAGCTGGGCCACTTCCTCGGCACGTCAAGGCGGACAGTCAGTGTGCACCACAGAGGTTCTGCCAGCTGCCCAGGAGAGCTTCATCCAGCCTGGCAAGCACCCCAGGGGACTGGTAGGAAATGAAATGCATGTTGTTTTTGCTGTGCCTTTTTTAGTGCATTCATTGTGGGGATGAGAGTTTTCTTGTGCACTTAAGGTTTCCTATAGAAGTCCTTAAGTGCACAGAAAACCTTAAAATGCAATAATGATGTCTTGGCCCTCCCCTGGACCCTCTTATTGTTTTGGGTGGTGCAGAGGCCCCACCTGATCCCTTTGACCATGTACAACCCCTCTAGACTGAAAATTCATTCACTCACTCTCCCATTTCAGCCTAGCTGGGCCAGCCTTCCCTCGGCCCGTCAAGGCGGACAGTCAGTGTGCACCACAGAGGTTCTGCCAGCTGCCCAGGAGAGCTTCATCCAGCCCCAAGCACCCCAGGGGACTGGTAGGAAATGAAATGCATGTTGTTTTGCTGTACCTTTTTAAAAAGGTCCATTGTGCATTTATGTTTTCTGTGCACTTAAGGTTTCCTATAGCAGTCCTTAAGTGCACAGAAAACCTTAAATGCACAATGATGTCTTGGCCCCCTCCCTGCACCCTCTTGGTTGTTTTGGGTGGTGCAGAGGCCCCACCTGATCCCTTTGACCATGTACAACCCCCTCTAGACTGAAAATTTCCCTATCTCACTCTCTCCCATTTCAGCCTAGCTGGGCCACTTTCTCGGCGCGTCAAGGCGGACAGTCAGTGTGTGCACCACAGAGGTTCTGCCAGCTGCCCAGGAGAGCTTCCATCCAGCCCCAAGCACCCCAGGGGACTGGTAGGAAATGAAATGCATGTTGTTTTTGCTGTACCTTTTTAAAAAGGTCCATTGTGCATTTATATTTTCTGTGCACCTTAAGGTTTCCTATAGCAGTCCTTAAGTGCACAGAAAACCTTAAATGCACAATGATGTCTTGGCCCCTCCCTGCACCCTCTTTGGCTGCTTTGGGTGGTGCAGAGGCCCCACCTGATCCCTTTGACCATGTACAACCCCTCTAGACTGAAAAATTTCTCATTCACTCTCTCCCATTTCAGCCTAGCTGGGCCACTTCTCTTCTCGGCGCGTCAAGGGGGGACAGTCAGTGTGCACCACAGAGGTTCTGCCAGCTGCCCAGGAGAGCTTCCATCCAGCCCCAAGCACCCCAGGGGACTGGTAGGAAATGAAATACATGTTGTTTTTGCTGTGCCTTTTTAAAAATTCATTGTGTATTTAGAAGTTTCTGTGCACTTAAGGTTTCCTATGGAAGTCCTTAAGTGCACAGAAAACTTTAAATGCACAATGATGTCTTGGCCCCTCCCTGGACCCTCTTGGTTGTTTTGGGTGGTGCAGAGGCCCCACCTGATCCCTTTGACCATGTACAACCCCCTCTAGACTGAAAATTTCATTCACTCTCTCTCCCATTTCAGCCCTAGCTGGGCCACTTTCTCGGCGCGTCAAGGCAAGGACAGTCAGTGTGCACCACAGAGGTTCTGCCAGCTGCCCAGGAGAGCTTCATCCAGCCCCAAGCACCCCAGGGGACTGGTAGGAAATGAAATGCATGTTGTTTTGCTGTGCCTTTTTAAAAAGGTCCATTGTGCATTTAAGCTTCTCTGTGCACTTAAGGTTTCCTATAGCAGTCCTTAAGTGCACAGAAAACCTTAAATGCACAATGATGTCTTGGCCCCCTCCCCTGGACCCTCTTGCTGCTTTTTGGGTGGTGCAGAGGCCCCACCTGATCCCTTTGACCATGTACAACCCCCTCTAGACTGAAAAATTCATTCACTCACTCTACCATTTCAGCCTAGCTGGGCTGCTTCTCGGCCCGTCAAGGCGGGACAGTCAGTGTGCACCACAGAGGTTCTGCCAGCTGCCCAGGAGAGCTTCATCCAGCCCCAAGCACCCCAGGGGACTGGTAGGAAATGAAATGCATGTTGTTTTTGCTGTACCTTTTTAAAAGGTCCATTGTGCATTTAAGGTTTTCTGTGCACTTAAGGTTTCCTATAGCAGTCCTTAAGTGCACAGAAAACCTTTAAATGGACAATGATGTCTTGGCCCCTCCCTGCACCCTCTTGGCTGTTTTTGGGTGGTGCAGAGGCCCCACCTGATCCCTTTGACCATGTACAACCCCCTCTAGACTGAAAAATTTCATTCACTCTCTCTCCCATTTCAGCCTAGCTGGGCCACTTTCTCGGCGCGTCAAGGCGGACAGTCAGTGTGCACCACAGAGGTTCTGCCAGCTGCCCAGGAGAGCTTCATCCAGCCCCAAGCACCCCAGGGGACTGGTAGGAAATGAAATGCATGTTGTTTTTGCTGTACCTTTTTAAAAGGTCCATTGTGCATTTATAAGGTTTTCTGTGCACTTAAGGTTTCCTATAGCAGTCCTTAAGTGCACAGAAAACCTTAAATGCACAATGATGTCTTAACCCCTCCCTGCACCCTCTTGGCTGTTTTGGGTGGTGCAGAGGCCCCACCTGATCCCTTTGACCATGTACAACCCCCTCTAGACTGAAAAATTTCATTCACTCTCTCTCCCATTTCAGCTAAGCTGGGCCGCTTCCTCGGCGCGTCAAGGGGGACAGTCAGTGTGCACCACAGAGGTTCTGCCAGCTGCCCAGGGAGCTTCATCCAGCCCCAAGCACCCCAGGGGACTGGTAGGAAATGAAATACATGTTGTTTTTGCTGTGCCTTTTTAAAAGGTCCATTGTGCATTTAAGGTTTTCTGTGCACTTAAGGTTTCCTATGGAAGTCCTTAAGTGCACAGAAAACCTTAAATGCACAATGATGTCTTGGCCCCTCCCTGGACCCTCTTGGCTGTTTTGGGTGGTGCAGAGGCCCCACCTGATCCCTTTGACCATGTACAACCCCTCTAGACTGAAAATTTCATTCACTCTCTCTCCCATTTCAGCCAAGCTGGGCCACTTTCTCGGCGCGTCAAGGCGGACAGTCAGTGTGCACCACAGAGGTTCTGCCAGCTGCCCAGGAGAGCTTCATCCAGCCCCAAGCACCCCAGGGGACTGGTAGGAAATGAAATGCATGTTGTTTTGCTGTGCCTTTTTTAAAAAAGGTCCATTGTGCATTTAGGTTTTCTGTGCACTTAAGGTTTCCTATAGCAGTCCTTAAGGTGCACAGAAAACCTTAAATGCACAATGATGTCTTGGCCCCTCCCTGGACCCTCTTGGCTGTTTTTGGCTGGTGCAGAGGCCCCACCTGATCCCTTTGACCATGTACAACCCCCTCTAGACTGAAAATTTCATTCACTCTCTCTCCCATTTCAGCCTAGCTGGGCCACTTCCTCGGCGCGTCAAGGCGGACAGTCAGTGTGCACCACAGAGGTTCTGCCAGCTGCCCAGGAGAGCTTCATCCAGCCCCAAGCACCCCAGGGGACTGGTAGGAAATGAAATGCATGTTGTTTTTGCTGTGCCTTTTTAAAAAGGTCCATTGTGCATTTAAGGTTTTCTGTGCACTTAAGGTTTCCTATAGGAGTCCTTAAGTGCACAGAAAACCTTAAATGCACAATGATGTCTTGGCCCCTCCCTGCACCCTCTTGGTTGTTTTGGGTGGTGCAGAGGCCCCACCTGATCCCTTTGACAATGTACAACCCCCTCTAGACTGAAAATTTCATTCACTCTCTCTCCCATTTCAGCCTAGCTGGGCCACTTCTCGGCGCGTCAAGGCGGACAGTCAGTGTGCACCACAGAGGTTCTGCCAGCTGCCCAGGAGAGCTTCATCCAGCCCCAAGCACCCCAGGGGACTGGTAGGAAATGAAATGCATGTTGTTTTGCTGTACCTTTTTTAAAAGGTCCATTGTGCATTTATAGTTTTCTGTGCACCCTAAGGTTTCCTATAGCAGTCCTTAAGTGCACAGAAAACCTTAAATGCACAATGATGTCTTGGCCCCTCCCTGCACCCCTCTTGGCTTGTTTTGGGTGGTGCAGAGGCCCCACCTGATCCCTTTGACCATGTACAACCCCCTCTAGACTGAAAATTTCATTCACTCTCTCTCCCATTTCAGCCCTAGCTGGGCCACTTTCTCAGGCGCGTCAAGGGGGGACAGTCAGTGTGCACCACAGAGGTTCTGCCAGCTGCCCAGGAGAGCTTCATCCAGCCCCAAGCACCCCAGGGGACTGGTAGGAAATGAAATACATGTTGTTTTGCTGTGCCTTTTTTAAAAGGTCCATTGTGCATTTAAGGTTTTCTGTGCACTTAAGGTTTCCTATGGAAGTCCTTAAGTGCACAGAAAACCTTAAATGCACAATGATGTCTTGGCCCCTCCCTGGACCCTCTTGGCTGTTTTGGGTGGTGCAGAGGCCCCACCTGATCCCTTTGACCATGTACAACCCCCTCTAGACTGAAAATTTCATTCACTCTCTCTCCCATTTCCCAGCCTAGCTGGGCCACTTTCTCGGCGCGTCAAGGCGGACAGTCAGTGTGCACCACAGAGGTTCTGCCAGCTGCCCAGGAGAGCTTCATCCAGCCCCAAGCACCCCAGGGGACTGGTAGGAAATGAAATGCATGTTGTTTTGCTGTGCCTTTTTAAAAAGGTCCATTGTGCATTTAGGGTTTTCTGTGCACTTAAGGTTTCCTATGGAAGTCCTTAAGCAGTGCAAAGCTTAAATAAATGCACATAATGATGTCTTGGCCCCTCCCTGGACCCTCTTGGCTGTTTTGGGTGGTGCAGGGCCCCACCTGATCCCTTTGACCATGTACAACCCCCTCTAGACTGAAAATTTCATTCACTCTCTCTCCCATCTCAGCCAAGCTGGGCCGCTTCCTCGGCGCGTCAAGGCGGAGAGTCAGTGTGCACCACAGAGCTTCTCCCAGCTGCCCAGGAGAGCTTCATCCAGCCCCAAGCACCCCAGGGGACTGGTAGGAAATGAAATGCATGTTGTTTTTGCTGTGCCTTTTTAAAAAGGTCCATTGTGCATTTATAGGTTTTCTGTGCACTTAAGGTTTCCTATAGGAGTCCTTAAGTGCACAGAAAACCTTAAATGCACAATGATGTCTTGGCCCCTCCCTGCACCCTCTTGGCTGTTTTTGGCTGGTGCAGAGGCCCCACCTGATCCCTTTGACCATGTACAACCCCCTCTAGACTGAAAATTTCATTCACTCACTCTCCCATTTCAGCCTAGCTGGGCCGCTTCCTCGGCCCGTCAAGGCGGACAGTCAGTGTGCACCACAGAGGTTCTGCCAGCTGCCCAGGAGAGCTTCATCCAGCCCCAAGCACCCCAGGGGACTGGTAGGAAATGAAATGCATGTTGTTTTTGCTGTACCTTTTTTAAAAAGGTCCATTGTGCATTTAAGGTTTTCTGTGCACTTAAGGTTTCCTATAGCAGTCCTTAAGTGCACAGAAAACCTTAAATGCACAATGATGTCTTGGCCCCTCCCTGGACCCTCTTGGCTGTTTTTGGCTTGTGCAGAGGCCCCACCTGATCCCTTTGACCATGTACAACCCCCTCTAGACTGAAAAATTCATTCACTCACTCTCCCATTTCAGCCTAGCTGGGCCGCTTCCTCGGCCCGTCAAGGCGGACAGTCAGTGTGCACCACAGAGGTTCTGCCAGCTGCCCAGGAGAGCTTCATCCAGCCCCAAGCACCCCAGGGGACTGGTAGGAAATGAAATGCATGTTGTTTTTGCTGTGCCTTTTTATTTTAAAGCATCGTAGAGAGCCTTCAGTGCTGACTGAATCAAATGACAGCAGTGATTGGATGATTTTATGTTGTTAAAATGTGCATTCATCCAGTAATTAAAACTAACTATATTTTTTCAATGTGTAGTTGCTTCTTTTTAACCTGATTGCTTCTGCAGAATTTGTGCAGAGATATTTTCAAGTAGGTTACATTTTGGTGCGAAACTGGGGTCGGCGCTTTTCACACTCCTGTATTACTCCTCTAAGTTTTACCATGACCCGGAAAGAAAATAGGAGAATGTAGTGCCTTGTTTAAATGCACTGATTTGTCTGTGCTAATTTATTCAGGGTGACTTGTGACAGCTTAAATGAAAGATCAGACATTTTACTTTATTGCCATTTGTTTTGTCCTCAATCTGCACATGCTATTGACTCCAGCCTTTCATGATTTGACCCCAAGTTCAAGGCTGTTTAGTGTATTTCAGCTCGAAAATTCCGGTGACCGTTGTTGACAGTGGATACAGCAAAATTGAAATGCTCGATCCAGACCGATATTTTGCTGGGTAAGTGAGAAGTAGTATGTTGGTCAGCATGCCACAGGACAACCTAGGGACAGATATTAATTATGGTGCTCTGGCCATGGCATGTCACTGTAGATAGTAAAGTGGTCTGAGGCTATATGTACTACATGTATTGGCTGTGGTTAACAGCCTGGTTGTTTTAATTTTGCTTTGGAAGTTAATAGGAAAACATTTGATTTTGTGCAGCATGTAAAGGTGAGTGCACATTTTAGTAATTCATACATTACATGTATATGCTTTCCTATTTATGTTTCACCATGGATACAAGTTGGCATTGTTATAGAGACTAATTTAAGGGGAGTGAAGCTAGGGCTGCTTGAGTTGAATGGATTGTTTTAGTGGCCTTGATTTGAATGTAGCCTCGATTTGTGGTCTAACAGTAACAAGAGCCCACATGGTAATAGTTACCTGGCTTCTAAATTTGTTGAAACCGATGAATTGACAACAAATTAGGATAAAGTCACCACTGACACAATTTGGGTGTCTGTGTGTAAAGTCATATGATATGAGTATTGTGAGTATGAAATGTGTTCACTGCTGATGGCACAATATGTCACAAAACCCTCTTATTTTAAGTAAACAGTGTTGCATATGATCCATTCTTTCTGTTACACCCTTTTTGCATATGAATAAACTTTTTTTCTCTCATGACTTTCAAACAATTATTTAGTTTCTCAAAAATTGTCTCATGGCTGTTATGGTCTTTATGATTGAACATTTAATATGATCTTGACACTATTTTCAGCTTAAAGAATGACTGATGGTGACTGGGGAGGTGTATCTTTGCACATACAGCAGAATCAGAAGCCTTCACATCCAATGTTGTGTTTCAACAAGTCGGTCTGATGTTGGCAGTGTGTGCACCCTCCTTTCACCTTTGATATCCTCTACCACCTTGAACAAGTTGTGGTACTTGAACATGTAGGTACATACAGTACATTTAAGTGCCCCAGTCCAGTGAAGGCTGTATCTCAAACCCTCATCCATTGGATATTTCTGATGAATAATAATCACTTTTGGGCATTTTTTATTTCATGGAAGTATTTCGAAGTCTTAGCTTGATGAATTGATAGACTCATGTGTAATTTCGTTTCATGCTGTGGTCTCAAAGAGCTTTCATCTGTTGAAATTTCAATTTCTTGGCTTTAACAGGCAGTAGGGTTCTTTGGTCATTGTTTCACATTGCTAGGCATATTCCAACCCTTACTTTATACTTTCTGGCAAAAAATTCATTATTCAGCCTTACATATGTCATGACTTTAAAGCTGTTTATGGTGACCCTGGCCAATTTCTGGCCTGAATTCTGTGCTTTCTAACTTCAACAATGTTTCTGATTCCTCTCCACTTAGATCACCAGCCTACATCAAAGATGCTTACACTAATGACTTTGGGGATAAATTAAAGATCAGACACTGGTGTTAGCCCTCTCATAAATGGTTTATCAAACCTGGACAGTTGTTTGTTTACAATGTAAACAATGCAGGAGTGTGTGTTGAAACAGTTTTAAACTATCTCAATCACATCAGGTCATGAGTATCAAAACCATATTCTATTAATGTAGCAGACTCTGCTATGATTTGATGATGTCAGCAGAGGAAAGCAAACAACTGACCATTGATGAACAGGGGAGTTGCATAGTTACTAGTTTTGAGGTTTAAAGATTTTCTGTCATTCGAAATATGATGTTGCGTGAAATTATCCCATGACACTCTTTTGTGACAAAAATGAATAAACTCCCATGGTATCTGTATGATTATAAAACATTCTATATTAATGCAGAAATACATTTTGCAAAACATTAATGAAATAGACATAATTTATCTCTTACAGGTCTTTCAGTGTAACAAATCTCTCTGTATCTTGTGCCATATAGACATGTTGGACAGGGAAAAGTATTGAAGCTTCATCCAATTCTTTAAAAAAAATTTAAGTGACATATTTTTTAAGTGATATGTACACATATACAGGGCATGGGGTAGCCCACTGGTTAAAGTGTTCGCTTCCCAGGTTCGATTCCCCACATGGATGAAGCCCATTTCTGGTGTCCCCTGCCGTGATATTGCTGGAATATTGCTAATTGCGGCATAAAACTAAATTCACTCTCTCACTCACATGTACACATACAGTACATAAATCACAGATTTGCTTAGTGCAGATGTCTCCATTTTTTTCAACATTAAGACCTTTCTGTACGTTTAAGGGCAGCTGCAGAAGGGGTCATAAGTACACCTATAAACATCACATAGGAAGACAAGGCATTATTGACTTAAGTAGTTTAGTGATATTTCATGCAACATGTAAGTGCATGTAAGTATGCATTTCATATTTCATATTTATAATAACCTGAAGATTACAGCAAAATATATGAAAAGGAAGCACCAGCTGTTTATCACCTAAATAATTTTCTTTGCAAACTGCTTTGGAGACTACCACATGTGAAATATTATTTAGTTGCCATGTCATTTACTCTGTTCAATGTTAGAGCATGTAAAAACACATTTTGGACCAAAGGCCATTTTGGATGTATTTGACTAGGTGTGGTGAAAGTCTGACAATATAATTATGTTCACAGCTGAGTTGGCTAGATCACTGACTTTGTATGTTGGCGATTTGGTGGAGAGAGTCGGTTAACATCCTGGATGGGACTGAACCCCAAACATGTCTAGAATGTGTATTTTACTGAGAAAGTGGAATCTTGCATATAACATGGATTCATGTGTACAACTTGTATAAATGTGATATGTTTTGACAATTATTATGTATATTGAAGAAAGAATTTAATGGATTTGAAGGACTTGGATAATATATGTTTCTTTTCCATTTTAAAAGGCTTAATAATTATTATGATTACCATTAATACATCACTGAGATGTACTACCACTTCAACAAGTAATCCATCCTAACTTAGTAAGTACAGAACCTAGCCTTTGTTTCTTAGTTTGAAGATAACTGTTAGTCATGTTAGGGTCTCATTTGCCCTAATTCGTAATCAGCCACATATTAAGAATAGGCAGCAGCTGAACTATTTGGGTGCGATTACATCTTGATATGGTATGTTAATAATGGTGTGCATTAATATAGTGTTCAGTGACTGTTTATGTGTTTCATATGTGTTTGTTATGTTATAATCTATTGTGCAGTGATATGTTCATTGTACCATACTGTCAGTATGTTTACCCAAATAAACTCTAAAGAGTAATCTTAATGCTGATGAGGCAACCACATTAAAATATGTTTTACCTCAGTTTGGTTTGTCTTATTCTTTTCATTTTTGTGTGGAATAACACTCCATATAGAATAAAGAGGGTCCTTTTGTGTACTTTTGTATTGTATACATTTGTTAATAACTTTTGTAAGATGACTCAATAAATTATATAACATTATTAACATTAATCACATAATGTGAGATAAAATAGAAACAAACATATGAGATACAATTGAACCTAATGATGGATTTTGATGCATTTCAGGCACAACCTTCAAGAAATAGAAGCAATGGTGTTATTTCAAATGACATCATGACTGCCTTAGATTAAAACTTGAAGGAGGTGACATTCCCCAGAAAAGTAGGATTGTCAAGTTTTATCATTTTGTAAGAAAATGAACAAGTTTGATTTACCTTTGAAAGAAATCCACAACCCCTGTCCATGGAAAATACAGACTGGAAATTATTGATGGGGACAGGAAAATAGTGATTCCTCAGTCTGGACTTCTTAATGTCATATCCACAAATTTACACAGCGTTTGTTGGGTTCAGGATCCGAAATTCCGAAAATATAAGAACATTTATATATTGATAAACCGGTATTATGCTGAAAAATTCTTAGGAATCCGTACAGGAGTTTATTGATAAGCAGGGTGACAGGCAATTGTTATCCCAAATTTCCTAATGAAGCAAATTTGAAACCTGATATAGAAAAAACACCAGTGGGACAACATACCATTGACTTTGTGGATCAACTACATCTACCTTGAGTATGGATGGGGAAATCCAAGAATACCACAATGTGACCAAGGCTCTGAGTTTAAGTGAGCAGTCAACCAATTATTAGTGGTGGTCTGATTAATTGAAATAATCGAAGATTGGTCGCAGTGACTAAATGACCAAGCAATCGAAAATGTTTTCTCAAAATCGAACACAAGCAGTTTTGGAACACTTGTTTGCATTAACAATATTTTTTCACAAGGTTGGTTTGTCTGAGTCATTATATTTACATTTCATAAGCACTACAAGCTTGTTCCAAGTCATGATTGAATTTATCTTAAAGACTCCTGGAAATTTATGTTCCTCACATACTAGCCATCCTTTAAATATATGAAGTATGAAAATGCATTTTGTGCAATTTACCCCCAAACCCAAAGAACTACATGGTTTTTTTTTGTAAATTATTTTGTGCATTAACAAAGGTAACAGGAACATTTGATAAATGATCCTAACCAATTATTTTCGATTATTGATCGGTTGTAATGGACCAATGATCAATTTTAACCAATTCCCAACACTACTAATTATGCATTGAAATGGGAACAATAATTGTCATAAGTTTTAACTCATCATCCCTTATATCAGGGAAGAGTAGGAGATAAATAACAAATAACATATATGGGATCTGAAATATGATATGTAATCTATAAAGGTTATGTCCATGGTTAAGGTCACAGATGTAAAGGCATCTTCCTGATGCTTGATATGAAGGAAATTATTGTTGGTGTAAGTTGGAACATATCAACGTTAGGGCAGAGCCACAAACACAGAACAGATGTATTGGACTTGCAGGTTCCACACACTGGTCAGGCAATATATGCTCAGCTTTTTTGTGAACCGTTGGTACCACCACAAACTGGTAGTAATTCATGAACACTGTATGCCATAGTCACAATCAGACAATTGACCCCACTTTTGTTAGGATTATAGAGATATTTTGCTAGTTTCATTTGCACATGCATGGCTGAAGATGTATTTGTTATTTTCCATTGAGTGAATCAATGTATTTGACAGTTCACATCTTTCTGTCATGACACCTTAACAGGTATGCTCCTCTTTGGCAGTGTTATATACTGTAGTTAGACTTTTCTGTTTTGATGTTACATTTTAACCTCAATTGTCAAATAAGGCATTTTTAAGTTAAATCTCAACATCTGTGTCTTTTTTGTGTTTGCCAATCCATGTAGGGCTGGGACGGGTAGGAATAAATGGAATCGAGTACCCGCATGTGCTTACCCGAATCGGAATCGAGTACCCGGAAATGTAAGGAATACAGCGCTTCTGTCAACTGTCTGAAAATTCAATCACGGGTTGACAGAGATTATTATAGAAACTTGAAAGAATGGCAATAAGACATTAAAACAGATCTTAGGCTATTTAATTTACGTCTATTTAACCAATATAAAGAGTATCAGCATTACTTACATTCCTCGTTACACTGGAAAAAAAGTCCACATTTACAAGCTTGGAAATGTCTTGGAAAGATGATGTTTCCAAGACATTTCCAAGCTTGGAAAGATGATGTTTCCAAGACATTTACAATTTTGGAAATATGAGATTTCCAAAAATTTACAATTTTGGAAATGTCCACAAGGGAAGATAACTGGTGGGTGATGGTAAATGATTGTTCTTTGCACGCCCAGGACCTAATCCCTTGTTAATTGATGAGTAAGTCAAGGCAGTTAAGAGTCACCAATTAACAAGGCCTACTGCCTTGTTAAATTAATGAGTGAGTGAAGTCAGTTTAGACAGCCTCTGGAAGGAAAACCAAGTTGCAAGTTTTTATGCCTCTTAAAGAAGCCTCTGGAAGCAAGTTATATCTCTGATGGCCATTTAGAAGTGGAATGCATACAAAAAGCAAGACTTATGGATGTCAACTTCCTTACTGTGACCTGATTTTCACCTGATGAAGGAGCAAGCATATGCTCCGAAACATCGTGTTATTCACAATAAAGAAGTTGACATCCATAAATCTTGCTTTTCTTATTAAAAAGGTAAGTTATTAAAATCCACTGAGCTGTAGGTTTGTTAATCATGTCTCGATGTGATTATCGCTCTAACACACCTGAGAGATTCGTTAACAGTGTTGTATGCACAGGCGGTGATAGTTGTATTGTATTGAATTTGGTTGGTTGCATAATGTTTTGTGTTATGCTGTCAGTTTGTATGTATGTGTGAATGAGGAACCTCACATATTATGACATTGAAAACAGACTAAACTTAACATTATTCCATGGTCAATATCGCAATGTGAGTGAAATGGTAGTATACGGAAGTTTGTTTCACATTTTTGATAATACCTTCTTTTATGCAGATAAAATTATTAAAAAATGAAGGAATAATGCCATGCTTCTCTCAGAGTAAGGGAAGATAATTTATATAGTGATTCTTATCAAATTAGATATTTCTTTATCGTCCGAACGGAATTCACAAATTACAGATGTTTTGTGTGGGTTTGTGTGCATGCACTCGTGTATAACATCTAACTTGATAGGTATTAAAATCAAGCCGTTTGTAACCATGACTATATTGGTTGGAACACTTGAGGAACAAAAATAATTTCTCGCTTCAAAAGGAACTGGAACAGTAACATTTTTCATGTTATCATATGAGCTTCAAAACATTGAATGAAATAAATGCTGTATGATGAAATGGATCAGAGAACATTATAATGGCATAAATGACGTGTTAATGACACATGTAATGATAAAAATACATAATCACTTTGTTAGTTAACTCATGACCAGACACGTCAAACTGGTACCGATAGATTTATATCTAAAATGTAAAAATTCAGTATTTCTTAGTACCTGAAATAGAAAACACGAATTTGGATGAGATGTTTTAATCTGAGATCAATCTGTAGAACTTAAATCAACTTTAAAAGATTGGTCATTCGCAAACTGAAGCAGATCTCACTTATACTGCAGTAAACAATATGGGGATACATAACGAAACATACCACTTACGTGATAACAACTCCCTGTTTATTGCATAGAACGGCATTCCGATGTACATCGTTCAGAATAAACAAGCTGACTGAATGTTGATTGATTCCATCACTTGGATAATGGAGTGGATTTCGACTTGTTGATCTTACTCTCCTGTTGACCCCAACGACGTGCTACTTGCTGAAGTACCTGTTGTTGTTAATTTGCTGCTTGTCACTATGCATATATACTTCTATTCACCTGGTTGTAGTTACTTTTATCCAGATAATGGCGTGAGAATATACATGGAAACTCCCCTCTATCGACCTTTGGTCCAAACGGATGAGTTAAGAAAAAAGGTCGATGCCCCGTCCTTTAGCCATTTCACATTGGATTATAGAGACAATGATGGGCCTACGTGTTGATAGAAGAGGATATTCCGGATTATGCGAATGAGAGCACACCTAATGAGAAAACGAGCCAAATATATGTATAAAGATAGTGTTTTATTTCACAGAACTTTTCGTTCCCGCCGCTCACGCGTAGATAAATTACAGTCGTTAATAATAACCTTAATTAATCGGACAATACCAATGATGTAATTGTGTGTTACGTCAATTATGAAAAAGACAATTTATGATCTGCCCTTGTCATTACAGAGTTCTCTCCCTTTCCGGGTACTCGATTCCTAGAAATAGGACTCGATTCCAGGTGTACCCGACCCGGATTCGAGTACCCGAGTACCCGTCCCAGCCCTACCATCATTGTTACTCAGAAAAACATCAACACATGGATGCGAGTTATTATTTCTATTATGGCATTAAAACAAATGTTTGTGTGTATAAATAACTTCATATGTTTACAGGTTGTTCACCATACCATCCCATGTTGGGTTGCCCCAGTCCAGATCAACAGTTTGTTGAGGAATAGCTTGGAATTCAGTTGATGCCTATTCTTGCTGTGAAGAGGAGCAATCTGAACTGTATGCAGGGGCACTGTTGAATTTTTAGATTTAGCATTTAATTAGGCAAGTGGGCACATCTGTTATCCCATGTCATACAACAGTGCTGTATCTATATAGGTGAAAATAGATCCCCAGGAAAAAAATCCCTATGTTGAGTCAGGTGACCAGGAGGTAGTCAGTCTTGGTAAACTAGTTTATGGTACAGCTGGAGCAGTCTGGGATGTTAATTATAATGCAGAGTCAATTATAAAGAAAGGTACAGCATCATACAAACATTAAAGGACTGATGAATGCTACATTATTATGATTATTATTATTATGAATTTTATGACTTCAGTCTTTGCTGTCAAATGCAAAATCAGTCACTGAAAAGTACCAGGGTACTATTTCTAATTCATGGCATTACAAGGTATTGAAAGCTTTAAGAGTAGGGGAGTGAGTGAAAGATTTCGGTGTAGTCATTATTATGTAACTTGTGCTCATTAATGCTTTAGGATTAATGGTATGTTCTCTTATGTTTACACTTCTGGTGATTTTATGCACCATTGAAAGGGAAAAGGATGTAGATTTCTGTGCCCTCTTGTTACTCTTTGCACAAAAGCTATGATTTAAAATCAGTTTGACAAAGTGTATTCATATTGTATCTTAACACTCCCATGTTTTTATGTATTTTTTATTTGTTTCCATAGTCAAAGGTATACAGTAACAACAAAAACACCGAAAGGTGTAAAGATGTTATTATTATGATTTGTTGCTGAATATTGGCATGAGTGAATTCCATTTAAGACTTAAGACTGAATTTATCAATTTATTTATCAATTTCATTTGTTTCCTTGAAAATAAAGTTTTGAACAGAAAATATCTCTTTTTGATGCCATTTTATATTTAATGAATTTTGAATTGATTTTTAGATTTACTTAAATTGATATGTTTTTGGCAGAGATAATGATTTGATTTAGTAATACATCATTATGTAATGTACCAAACCAAATCAAATATTTTTGTAATGTTTATTTTCATGGTAAATAGTTATTAATTGATTTCGAGATCATTCCAGAATTTTATGGTTTCACAACAGTCCTAATAAGCACAACAAATGCTCTCAAAGAAACATCATTGCAAACTAACGGTAGACAAATCATTTTCAGTCAGGTTCATTTTGAATAATTATATTTTAGTATAAATAACTATTTGCAGAAATGTGTATTGAAAATAAAGAAGGTTAACATCTTTCAATACATGTCAATAGAAGGTGAAAATTTTGTGCCAATTAATTCACAATCATTGAATATCATTTCCCATTTGAGTACAAATCTCAAGTTTGTCATTTTAGAAATACACTTGTCATTAAGTAATCTTGAACCCCTTGAGAGCTTTAATATATATTTTTAAACTTATCCTATCTCACGGTATGAACCATCTCTCTCTTCTAAGACCATGTGTGGAAACGTGCTGTCAGCTAAGTTTAGTCAAATCTAACTGGCCTCTGACCCGCCCTTCTGACCTCTGCCTTCACACCCGACATCAATGCCTGTCAATCATCCATCAAAGCGTGCGGCTCGCCTAAACTATCAAGATGACCACCTCTACTTGTCATT